TACATTTGAAAATCAAGATACCCGTGACGGTAAGACGCGGTGTATCTAGACGATCTCAACAAAAAATAGGAGACTGTGAACAGTTCTAGCTCTGGCTAATTTTCCGTCTTTGCTTAGACTTGATGTGTTGTTTCGCATTTGCTTTCCTGCTGCGATGGAGGCACTGGATTTTCTTCGACCATCTGATACAATTCTTTTCTGTCTAGGATGTCTTGGGCCGTACTAGAATTGTTTTGTTGGCTTAGTATATAGCTCATTTCTCCCTCTACAGTTTGATAAATTTGACTCACTTCCGGGCGATGACCAGATTCTGATTTAGAAAGATGCTTGTTTTGACGCCTCACTCGATTTTTAGCCAAAATAGTGCTAAGGGTTTCTACCTCTTCTGTCTTAACCTCTGCACCCGCCGACAAAAAGCCAACTTTACTTCCTCGATAACGATTGCAAAATATAATTTTGCGGAATTCTCTTTTGAAGACAGGATTCATTCCAGCATATATAAACGGATTAATTGTGTTGGAAAAATACAGTAGAAACATGCATAGCAGTTCAACGTTTCGAGGCATGCTGGCGACAAGACGGAACCGTCGCAAAACGACGATAACCCAAAAAGGGATCCAGCAAATCATAAATGCAAAGACAACAGCAAATAGAGATTTACTGACTTTAATCTCGTGCGCTGTGATGTAGGTGTTTCTCTCGCTTCGCTGTATTGCGTATAGTGCATCTGCGTTGTGTTGTTTTATCATCCTGGCAACTTTTATGTAGCTTATTATCGTCGCCATTAATGGTGTTAAAAAGAACAAAGTGAGAACAATGCCATAATGGATTAATTTACCACTTTCGCTGAGATGAGCAATGGAGCATTGAGCGTAGCCCTGAACGAACTCGTATGCTTGTAGACCAGCTAGACGTGGAACAACGGTGTAACAAGCAACAAATAACCAGACAGTCCCGAGTAAAGCGCGCGACTTGTGGGCTGAAAACAGTTTCTTATATTGTCTGTCTGACTTGCACATTCGCACATAACGGTTAACAGCCGTTAAACCCATGGTCACAGGTGAAACATAGATGACAAACAGGCTGAAGAAGGCGTGAAATTGGCAGAACACTCCGCCGAAAATCCACTTGCTGGTTAACAGTACACCAGTTCCAAAAGGCATGACAAAAACAGCAGATAATAAATCGCTGACAGCCAGGGCAATGATATAAAGATTTGTTGTTGTGCGAAGCCGCGCGTTCTTGTAGACAGAAATACAAACTAACGTGTTTCCTGTCAAGCTCAAAACATTCAGGATTATAAGCGAGGTAACTTCGACAACGGCTAAATACATGCTCCGTGAGCTCAGTTCGTCCGCCATTCTTGAGAAGAAGGTTTCAACAAGACTTTTTGGCTAAAGTATTCTGGTATCGCATGAAACCACTTTGAAAACGAGCAATACCTTTTAAAAGTTGGTAAATTATTTTTAGTTTCTTTATCCAATCGGCGCTATCTGAATGTAGCCAAGTTTTTTCCCCTTGCTTCACCAGACGTGTAAATATTGAAGCAGTTCCATTTGTACAGAGGCTGGCTTCCTCCCGTATCCCTGCATGCCAAATGGATTTACTTGTTGTACCTCAAAGTTTTTGTTTCCCGCAGTATTTGTTTACGCTGTTTTCTTTTTGTAGGAAAAGAGGAATATGTTATCACTGCAAGATTATTTGCAAGTAATACCTTTGATGACACATGGAGAAGCAGGTGAATCGTTGTAATATCCCATTCAATCTATTTTCCGGTTCTTGCTGCTAACAAATAAGAAAGGAAACATATATTTCTAGGAAAGTGCATCCCGCAGTCTGTAGATAATGGATGATAAAAACTTTCTTTTCATTTTATCAACAGACAAATAGCATAAGAAGATATCCTACAATTATTGAAATTCTTATTGTTTCTTTTACTGAGGTAACCATCTCATCAAAGGCTGCCAAAATTATCGTGACACTTTTTTGTTTGTTTTAATATAATCAAGTGGTACCATCTTCAATTTTTCTAACATACACACATTACTTAGTACGCAATTCCAGAGAAAACAAACGCAACGGGCAATCTTCCGCCAGACTGAGAAAAACAAAGCTTTCGATGGAATAGTTTCTGAGAATTATAACAGCAAGAGTTAACAAGGTGAACATCAATAGTATTGCCAACCTCTGAGTGATCAGTTTTAAACAATTCCGACGCAATACATCAAATTCTGTCCCTCCACGATACGGGGAAATACACCTCAGAAACCTTAAACAAATAAAGGAAAAGGCTAAGTGCTTAAAAGCTGTCGAAACATCAAATTAACTTTTTAATCTGACTGTGTACTTTGGTCCACGTTTTAAGTTGACCATTTTTAGTGCTACTTATCACCCTCCGATTTGATCTAGATTTTACCATGCAATGTTTTAAGCCCGTGTTAATTAAACGTAAATTTGAGATATAAATGAGAAATGCATCTCATAATACAAAAAAAAAAAAAATATATATATATATATATATATATATATATATATATATATATATATATATATACTATATATTTTTATATCTATAATAAAAAACAAAAAATAAAATATATCAAAAATATTTTATTATATA